TATGTTGTCATTGAATTTCACTTAGCCTCAATTCCCAAAAAGCAATCTCCAGGCTAGACTGCAATTTCGAGCTAGCCTAGTTTTGATCATCATCCCTGTCGAGATTCGATACCGGGTCGTGACTATCATGGCGGCGTTATCATTACAATGCATTGCTACAGTTGCCAGTGGGTCACAGGACAGGTTTGGCATTCTAGGCAAGCCAAACCTCTTACTTTCTGAGAGGCAAGGATAAGTGAAAGTCATTGGCATCTTGAGGCCTACTCATTTCATCAGAAAACTCAGCTATCAGTCCTTAAATCACCTTAAGTGGAAACTACTCATATAAAAAATATGTAACCTATTCGATTGCGATGACAAACACATGTTTCCTTGATTAGCAATCCCATCATAAATGTGATTTTAGAGGGACCTGGCTTGCTGCCCTGTCACCCACTGGCACCTGTGGCCATGTAGTGAAGTATAATAGAAATATCGTCACGATACTCGTGACCCAGTGTCGAATCCTGTGGAGGGTGTTGATGAGAGCTAGACGAGGTCGAAACGGTGCTAGACTAAAGTCTTTTGATAGACATTGCTAAATGATATTAAATAGCATCGTGAGACCTACTCATCTTTTGGTACGGGTGCTAAACTATCAGTTATTGAATCACCTTAAGCGACCTAGGATGACTAAATCCTTAGCTGTAGAGATAGTTGAATTCCCCACTGCAATAAGTGCATAGCCTCACAACACAGTGGAGTTTTACATCATCTTGTCTTTCAAATAGGTTTTTATACAAAATCTAAGGAGTTTGGAAACCTAATCATTCGGTGAATAGTATTGTCATTGGTTATGATAGCAAAATCAGTTTTGCCTGGTTGATAACAGTTCCATTCTAAAAATAAATAGGAAGAAGTTCGATTTTTAGTGTAGGTCATTTATGTTCTGTGGCTTACTGACGCTCGTGATTATGTGGCTTAATGGTATTGTGGCACTTTGAAGCTCATATCTGTTTCAAATCCCCCCAGGAGTGTTGCTAAGACTCAGGTGAGGCCGAAATGACAATCCGTCTTGGATGAGAAAGCGTTTTTACGAGCAAAGCTAAATGAAATTCAATTATTTCTTTGTAGTTTATTCGGCAATAAGCCCTTGCATCACCTCAAGGTGATTCGTGTTCTTATTTAATGGTTACACGGGTTTTGGATGTTATTCTTCGTTTCAGACTAATAAGTATTCTTTCGGTTTTAAGTAGGTTTTCGATAGTTAATTTATAATAACTACTCTGCTTCCCGAAGGAAGTCACCTTTATTTGGTTTGTGTTTTGAGAACTTGTTAATTAAGGAAAAGTGGATTATGCTATTAAATTCAGTTATATTTTATCCCATATGGATGTTATTATCTAAGCTGGACTGAGTTTAGACTTTACTAGGTCTCATCATCATCAGCTGGGGTCTAAATAAATCCTAATCAGTTACGACCTAATCATTTCCTGACATAAGCTGCTTTAAGTATCTTCAAAGTCCATCAGGATATTTTTACTCTTTTTCTTCAAATATTGCAACAACTCATTACTTTTATTTCTTATGTATTGAGTTATTTATAATCAACCACGGACTGTGCCTAGTCTTGAATTTCAATTCATCAACAAAATTATATCTACTTATTTTCTGTACTATTTCCTATCAAATTCTTTCTCCGGAACTGCCATCTAGTCGATCAATTTTGTAATCGCTATTTGGGAAGTGCCAACTCCCTGCGCAATCACTTGAGACGCCACACAGGTCTGCCGCTGTACGTCTGCGGGGATTGCCATCTTTGCTTTGTCGAAGCTGACACCTTGAAAGAACATTTAAAACCACTTCCGACACAGCTGATTAAATTTGATCAAATGGCAAAAATTACTGGTTGGTTATTTCTCTGTAGTTGATTCCAATCTATATAATTATGTCCTTTTTCCTCCTATTCGAAATGGGGCTTCTCTGCTGATTTTATTATTTGTCGCTTTGTGTGCTGGAATTAATAGTCCTGATTTCATGGAGAGTTCGAGTCTGAAGTTACCGCTTCGTTATTAAGCGTAAAGACCCGATCCAAATCACTATCTTTTACAACGTAGGTGTGCAACATTTGTGAGATTAATTTTCATGGATTCACTTGCGATTCGTCAGATAACTAAACTTGAGATGGCTTTCTTATGTCATTTGGTTATGCTAATTTATGTTTTATGAGATGTATTCACCCTATTTCGTTAAGGTGATGAAGGACTGGTAGTAGAAGTTTCCCACAATATGAGTAGAGCTGACGTTTCCATTAAATTTCATAGAGCCTTGCTTTCCCAAAAGCTGTTTTCATCCAGTGTGGACTGCAGTCTCGACCTCGCATAGGTCTTATCAACACCCCTAGCGGGAGTCGAATCGTGACAGTGCAGCACGTGAGCTTGACACGTTAACCACTCGGTCACATTGCCACGAGTGTCCTTGAGTTACAGGTTAGTCCACTCTAGATGAGAGCAATTTTTGGGAAAGCAAGGCTCTGTGAAATTTAATGGAGGCGTCAGCTCTACTTACATGATTGTGGTAAAAATTTACTACCAGTCCCTCATCACCTTAAACGAAATAGGATGAATTGATCTCTTATAACTGATTTGCTGGTAGTCTCAAAGCTCTACTTATATGCGAAAATTAATTTATGTTAGACGGTGTGCGTTTATGCAACTGACTTGCTTCGATTTTACTCTGACTAGCTCAGTACCACTTTTTGACATTTCACGCATGCTAATATACCTTTGGCCATCGCGACGGCAAATTCGGTTAAGCAGACACAAGCTGTCGAATTATAATTGATAAAAGTTGTTGCAAATGTTGTCATTGGAAACATCTAGCCTCTCACAGATAACAACTACTTGGAAATCTATACTCTTCTAATTGCATTTGAGATTCTTTGTTTTCCCAGTTTATTTAGCACAAAGATTCTCTAGAACTCATATTCGCATCTTAGCTCTTAACTTTAAGCACTGCATCGGCTATTTTTTTAGTTGACTCGCCTCATCCCTGCATTTCTTCAGGCCACGAACCCCTCCACCAGCCATCCGTGAACAATCCATTTCGGGATAAGGGGCTGAGTTCCAGTCTCGGCTACCAATGCGACCGGTGTGGCCAGCACTTCAATACCAGTCGCAACTGGAGCTCTCACATTCGACGCGCCTGCTGTCTCCTTCCTGATCCTCTTGACCAGTTGACCGACATCGCTCCGATGCCACAAAGCCGTCTCGTCGACATTGGTGTTTCGTCATCTGGCTCTTGCCCTCGGTCAGTTCGTTCTAACCGACCGGTCGTCAAACTGATAAATCCTCATCCAGGAGTTGGTTGCAGCATCTCCGACAATGCTAGAGACTATTCTTCCCTACCCTTGTTGGGCTTCGCCACCCCACCACGTCTGACAGCAACGGCTGCTTTGTCAGAAACTGCAAATTTAGTCTCATGGCCTTCTTCATATGCATCATCAGGCCCTGCCCGAGCCACTGCTTCACTTTATGCCTGTCACATTTGTCCCGACTATCAGACCGCATATAGAGGAAAACTGAGTCTCCATTTGCGTTACATGCATCGGCTGGTGGCAAGATCGTCTGCTGCAAATCGACCAGACGGCAGACAGATTTTATCGGTTGGATCAGCTAGGGGTCTGGTTGATATTGCATTACAGGGAATAAATGGAGACCAGGCAAAGATAGCAGCTTTAAATTGTCCTATTACTCCTGGCCAGAAAGAAAGTAGAGCTCGGGTTTCAACAGAGACAGGATCTGGACGTGCTGCTTGTGGAGCATTTGGGCGAGCGCGGTTTGTGTTTGTACGCCGGCCAAGCGACGGTTTGATGGTGGCTCGCAACGCTGTGACGACTGTTAGGATGGCTGTTGCTCACCCTAATTGCGAAATACAACCGAAACTGTCTTAATACCTCTCATGAATTTTCTTTTTTTTTAAAGTTTGATTTCATAATTTTTCATATACTCCTTCCATCTACTAACTCTTTTCCTCTTGTTCCTCTTATTGAATTTTTGCCCCTCTTTCTTTGTATCCTATATTATTTCCCTTTCACTTTTGATATATCCTAAATGTTTCTCCTAGCAACCATTTTAATCAACGTGATCTAGATTCTTCATTTTTGTATAATAACGGTACTTTTTAGTATTTGATCTCTATTCTGAATAAAAATATCTACCACATAAACTATTCCTTTTGGTTTTCTGGTCAAATGCATTTTTATGTGATTTTTCTTTGAAATGCATACTTCTAGCTAGTTTATTTCTCGCACATTATTTAGATTTTCTGATATTTACGATTGTAAGGTTTTGGGTTTGGGATTTTTAAATTTTACTTTACATTCTATAACTATTTGAATGGGTTTATCAACGATTATGATGCCTGTTATTGCTAGCTTCTAGCTTATAATGTGTTTTTTCGACCTTGAATTTTTCACACTTTCTTCATAGCCTTTCTTTTCACAAGCTCAAGTGCATATTCAACTTCATTTATGGATGTCTTATTGGATTAAAATCTAGAGTGCATTTGCTTTATGCAACTCGAACGAATGCTTTACTAAATTCTCATCATCATGTTTGAATGTTCATTTGTATGTTGCGCAGAAAGTCAGATTAAATTTTGATTTTGTTGATCTATCTGAAATAAAGTAGAATTGACATTATTCCGTGTTTACTGTTACTGAAATATGTTCATGTATTTTTGAGACGAATTACAAGTGAATTTGAGACCCCTTCTGCCACAATCCGCTTTTTAGATACACACTGATTTTGCCAAATGAGATGGAGAAATTTCCAATAGATGCGGACCAGGAGGTTTGCTTTTGATGCATATAAGTGTTCTGACCTCGTTTTCACAACTTGCCCTAGTTAAACGCACCCTGCTAAACTCCTTTATTATGGTAGTTGTCTTGGTACATTCCCAGACGTTTCGCCAATATCGTCAGTTAGTTATGCTAGGCTTAAGGCCAAACCATAACTCTTGAAAGAGACAAATGAAGTAAACATTCGGCCTAACGACTGTGCCACCACTCCTCTTTCTGTCCTGGCATATCTGTCTATTCCCTGCCATCCTATCCCAACTTCTGACTTGCTTAATTACCACTACTCTAAAGATGCCCTTTAAGGTGAGTTTAGTGTGAATTGATCAGACCTGCTGTTTACTCTGTTCTTCGTCCTCAATTTGCTGGTTCGACTCGGATCTCCCATCCTAATTTTCCTCATTGGCCCGTAGATCCGTTTCTTATTTTTCCAGTTAACTGATTTCACTCAGTTCCAATCCCAGTACACGTTTTACTTTCAAGTCTTTAGAGTCAAGTACACCGAGCAGAACGCCTAGGCTCTGAATCACATGCTTGCAGTTATCAGGCATTTCCTCCTAGGTGAATCTTCCTGACTCAACCAGTGTACCCTGAGCAAACTGTGAGCGCCTTTCTCTAGTCGTCTGCTTCACCTTGAGTGGATTTCTAGTCAATTTGGCCATAATGCCGAATTTCTGTGCCGGTTGTGATTATTCGTCTCTCGAGTCCTATTAATGCCAAGTCCCAAAGGTTTTCGTTTTTTCGAGCAGACAACACTCACTGAGAACGTCTTGGCTTGATTTCCAAGTGTTCCTCATCCTATTCTTTTTTGCGATCCCTTTTCCTCTGATTACCGATAGGTCCTTGATCAAGGCATCTTCTTTTTGTTGGTCTTGTCGTATCCTTGTTTTATTCGACTTTACTTAATCCACACCAAAAAGAGCACGCCTCTAGAGGAGTCGAAGTAGTAGTGGTAGGACGGGAGTGAGATAAGAGTATATGGAGTAGATAGAAAGGTTAGGACAGAAAGAGGAAGGATAACACAGCTGTTAGGCACAAAGATGGTTAATAAGATTTACTTTTCTTGTCTCTGACGGGTCGTAGCTTTGTGTCGAGAGTATCAAGACTTACTGACGATACCAACTAGGACGCCGGTGAAATATCTGAAAATCTACTAAGTTTATGGTCCGACGCTGGGAATTATGCCAACTACTATAACAGAGGACTTCTGACAAGGTGCATCCAAATATGTCCCCCTGACAGCACGAACAAGTTGTGAACATTTCCTATTGTTGGGAAGCTAAATGCCTTCTCTGAGGTTTTACATTTTTCTATCATTATTTGTCAGTGTAGAGTTAGGGCCATAAATTCTACTATTGCATAACTTTATCCCTTACATTTGCTATTTCGAATTTTACCCAACCTGTTTTTCGATCTAGGTAGTTTTCTAGACTATAAATTCTTCTTCTTGCTTAATTTGGCTTCATCTTTTACCATTATGGATACACATGGATTATACGTTGTACTAAATGAATCAGAACCTATGTAGATAAATTACCTCCACAATATATTGAGTTACTAGACCTCTTACTTTGAATGACATGTATGGCTTGTGTGTCTGTATTGTATGGGTAGACTTGTTTAGCGGGGCCATTACGTCCAGACGAGGTCTGAGTTACGTGCCACTAGAATGGAATCCACTTTTGTAATGCATGAAGTAGCAAAGCTCTAAGGCAAAATTAATTTTGTTCTTCAATTTCTAATGGGTAGAATGTCGGATCGTGGTTTTATTTAGTGCCTTTCGATTGTATACCCTCCATCGTATAGGATTTAAATCTACAGTACACTTGCTTTATACAACTCTTCAATCAGTCCTTATGATTCTGTTGATATAAAATCTCCCAAGAACTACTAGTTCTCTATATTTTGCTTACCCTAGAGATCACTTTTCTTCACTGCATGCTTGTGCACTGCAAAGATTGGTTGTTGACCTATCACTAATTAAATGAGGCGCTACCAGGTCCTTCAATTTCGCTTGATCATTTCCTCGAAAATTTAAAGAAATTTGGATTGTTCTCGAAAGTATGAAGACCAAGATGGCGTGGCCTTTTGTGTGGTCGAAGTCTCCTTTCGTTGTTTAGACTCTGTTTCATCTTGTTTTAGAAACTTGGTCATATTGGTAAGAAGACCTAGAGGAACACACCTAGTCCGGAGTCCATTGAATGCATGCTCATTTCCAAAGTCGGACCGTGGACGTGGTACATTCCCAGACGTTTCACCGGCATCGTCAGTGAGTCTCG